AGGAGTGTCCTTTGTGTGAGTTGTGTGTGCCTTTCTGTTGTAGTTGAGCTTTGATTGCTGTTGGCAGGTCAGTGAGTAGGTGTTGACCCTCAGGCTAACTGGCTCTGAGGACTGGCCATGACCACAGTGTATGAGCTGTTGTGCAGAGACTGACCCCAGGGTGAGGGATTTGCACCAGTGGGGCTCTGGTGTCTGTAGAGATCACCCTTTGGGTGTATCACTTGTGGAGCCCATCAGGTGCTGCTCTGTTATGGTCTGAAGCCAGCCACCAGGTATGTTCGTTCTGGGGCATCTTGGGAGGGACTCTGGCACAGGCCAAGGTCAGCCGTTGCCACTAATTGGCTCAGGACCATGGCTGGTAGCTGCTTTTACTGGGCCTGAAGTCCTGTGGAGAAGGCCATCATGCAAACTGATGCTGGTTGCCATCACTACCAGGCCTGGGGCCTCTCAGCAAAAGGCACTGGGCACCCCTAGGCCTTCCACCACTTTCCAGCTGCCTGTAAAGCTCAGCTGCTGAGTGAATCTCGGGAAATATGAAAGTGCAGTGAGGCAGGATTTCAGGGAGTACCAGGGTGGGGCGAGTGGTGTTCACCAGGTTAGTGCAGATTCAGATCTGGCATCAGTGCCGAGCCTACGGCCATTCAACAAAAGGCGCAGGGTGCACTGAGGCCAACCACTGGCTGCACGGGGCCTGTGGAACTTTGAGAGCTTTTTGGTTTTTGTCTGTGTGTGTGTGTGTGTGTGTGTGTGTGTGTGTGTGTGTATGTGTGAATACGGAGGTAAGTTAATAATGGATGAAGGTGAAGGTAGGAGAGAAAATAGGAGAAAATAAGAGTGAACACATAGAAAGGTAGGTAATTGCTGATTGGACCTCAAGACACATAATATCAGCACCAGGGAGTTACCAGTAAACCAGATCCTGGTTTCTCTCTCATTCATTCTCTTCCTTCTGAATATCACAGCTTTGATCATTCCTAAATTCCTTTGTTAGTATTATTTCTCTGGTGTTTTATCATTTAAAGTCCCTCATGAACCTTTTTGTACCTTTATTGCTCTAATTGTTGTTGTTACTATTTGGACACTGCAGCCACCCTAAGAGCTTTTTGGTTTTTGATTGTGTGTGTGTGTGTGTGTGTGTGAATACGGAGGTAAGTTTATTAAGATTAATATATCTTTATTATGTTTAGTATTACAATCCATGAGCATAGTGTGCCTCTCTACCTTTTTTTTAATTCTTTTAAATACATTTAATTATTTATTTATTTTTATTTTACAACATACAAAATAAATCTATTACCAGATTGTAGATACAAGGTAATGATCCATTTACATGTAATTAACATTTCAAGAAAAATGATAAGAGAGTTTTTAAGGACTGCAGCATGGGTCAGGTGTTTTATCATTTAAAGTCCCTCATGAACCTTTTTGTACCTTTATTGCTCTAATTGTTGTTGTTACTATTTGGACACTGCAGCCACCCTATCCCAACACCATGCCCCCACCTTCTGAGGCCTAAGTTGTTGTTGTTGTTATTTGATTAATATATCTTTATTATGTTTAGTATTACAATCCATGAGCATAGTGTGCCTCTCTACCTTTTTTTTAATTCTTTTAAATACATTTAATTATTTATTTATTTTTATTTTACAACATACAAAATAAATCTATTACCAGATTGTAGATACAAGGTAATGATCCATTTACATGTAATTAACATTTCAAGAAAAATGATAAGAGAGTTTTTAAGGACTGCAGCATGGGTCAAGGCTGGCTGCCTGACTCAGAGGAGCCTCCAGCAGGCACTGGGTGCGGTGGAGTCTCTGGGACTCATCCAGGTGGGTCAGACTTATCCAGGTGGGGCCGGTGATATTCACCAGGCCAATGCAGATTCAGATTTACCCATGTGGGGGAAGGGCTCAACACAGAAAAGGTTGTGCCTGCTTGCCAGCTCTATGGAAGGATTCAACACAAGGACAATGGCAGCTGTCCCTCCACCCCTCACCCTGAAGCCACACAACTCAGTTTCTCCCTAGATGTGTGCCCCCTGCACCGCTCTCCCTCTGCCCAGAGCCCAGCGTGAGTGCCTGCAAACATGTGTACAGACCCTTTAAAGAGGACACCTGGGTTTCCAACAGCCTTTCATCTCACCTGGATGGACAGAATCCCCACTGATTTTCACATCTACGAGTTGTGAGGGCTCCTTTCCCAGCACTGGTACTCTGGGCTTGGGAGCCCAGTGTGGGGCTGGGACTCCTCACTTTTAAGAAGGGACCTCTGCAGCTAAGATATCTCTCTCAATGCTCAACTGTTGCACTTGACGACTGAGCCAACTCGTCTCTGCCCCCCTACCAGTCTCTATGTAGCCTCTTCTTTATATCCTTAGTATAGGACCTCTCTACAGCTAGTCTTCCAATGGTTCTCCAAGTTGATTGTTCTATAATTTAGAAATGTTTCCAACAGCCTTTCATCTCACCTGGATGGACAGAATCCCCACTGATTTTCACATCTACGAGTTGTGAGGGCTCCTCTTCCCAGCACTGGTACTCTGGGCTTGGGAGCCCAGTGTGGGGCTGGGACTCCTCACTTTTAAGAAGGGACCTCTGCAGCTAAGATATCTCTCTCAATGCTCAACTGTTGCACTTGACGACTGAGCCAACTCGTCTCTGCCCCCCTACCAGTCTCTATGTAGCCTCTTCTTTATATCCTTAGTATAGGACCTCTCTACAGCTAGTCTTCCAATGGTTCTCCAAGTTGATTGTTCTATAATTTAGAAATTATTTTGATGTGGTTATGGGAGTAGATGAGCACAGTGTTAACTACCTTGTCATTTTGACCAGAACTCAGTACCATACTGTTGTGTGTTTTTTTGTCTGTTTGTGGGGTGCTGGTTTTTTTGTTGTTGTTAAAATATATTTGTATTGATTTCAGAGAGGAAGGGAGAGGGACAGAGAGATAGAAACATCAATGATGAGAGAGAATCCTTGATCAGCTGCCTCCTGCACACCCTCCACTAGAGATCAAGCCTGCAAACCAGGCATGTGCTCTTGACCGGAATCAAGCCTGGGACCCTTCTGCCTGCAGGCCAATGCTCTATCCACTAATCCAAACCGGCTAGGGCATACTGTTTTGATTACTGTAGGTTAGCAGTAAGTTTGAAAGCAGGAAGTGTGAGTTCTCCAGATTTGTTTTTTAAGATAGTTTGGGGTATTTGAGGCAATGCCTTATGAATTTTTAAATGAGATTTTGAATTTCTGTAAAAATAAGTAAGTAAAATGATATTACACTATTGATATGGATTGCATTGAATCTGTAGATCATTTTGTGGACCCTTGCCATCTTAACATTAAGTCTTCCAATCCATTAATATGGGATGTCTTTCCATTTGTTTAGGGCAGGGGTCCTCAAACTACGGCCCGCGGGCCATATGCAAACACAAATATTGTATTTGTTCCGGTTTTGTTTTTTTACTTCAAAATAAGATATGTGCAGTGTGCATAGGAATTTGTTCATAGTTTTTTTTTTAAACTATAGTCCAGCCCTCCAACGGTCTGAGGGATAGTGAACTGGCCCCCTGTTTAAAAAGTATGAGGACCCCTGGTTTAGGGTTTTTAATTTTTTTCAAAAATATTTGTACTTTTCTGTGTACATATTTTGAACTTCCTTATCTAAAACTAGAGGCCTAGTGCATGAAATTTGTGCACTTGGTGGGGGGTGTCCCTCAGCGCAGCCTGTGCCTTCTCACAGTCCAGGAGCCCTCTGGGGATGTCAGACTGATGGCTTAGGCTTAAGCAGTCAGTCAGACATCCTTAGCGCTGCTGAGGTGGCCTCTCCTGCCACCGCCACTGTGCTTGCCAGCGTGAGCCCAGCTTCTGCATTGAGCGCCTGCCCCATGGTGGTCAGTGCACATCATAGCAACCAGTTGTTCTGCAGTTCGGTCGATTTGCATATTAGCCTTTTATTATATAGGATTATTCCTAATACTTTGTTGAATAATTTTGCATGTATGTATATTAGATTTTGGTCTGCAGTTTTATTTTCTTGTGATGTCTTTATCTGATTTTGTTTTCAGGATGATGGTGGCCTCATAGAATTATTAACATAATCTTCCTTCCTCTTCTATTTTATGGAAAATTTTACAAAGAATTAGGGTGAATTTTTCCATAAATGGCTGGTAGACTTTACCAATGAAGCCATAAGTTATAGGCTTTTTATTTGGGGAAGTTTTTAATTAATGGTTCAATCTATTTACCTGTTATAGGTATGTTCCAATTTTCTATATCTTATTAATTACATTTGGGTAGTTTGTATGTCTCTAGGAATTTCTTCATTTCATCCAGGTTATCTAACTTATTGAATAATTGTTCATGATATTCTCTTATAATCCTTTGTAAATCCACATGATATATATGCCATTATTATGTACACCAAATATTATGTGTTATAATATTATCATGTTTACTAAATAATACCATTATATATAAACTAGAGGTCTGGTGCACAGATTTGTTCACAGGTGGGGTCCCTCAGTGTGGCCTGCAGGGATTGGGCTGAAACCAGCAGTCCAACACTGCCTGCCGCTCCTGCCTGTGGCTCCTGCTCATCCCAGCCCCACTGTACTGGCCGCGGGCTCGCGCCCAGTCAGTTCCAATCAGGCAGTCCCAATCAGGAGAGGCTCGCGCCACCACAGCGGTGAGCCCTGTGTCTGCTGCCCGTCAGTCAGCTGAGTTGCCACTCTATGTGGGAGCCCACTGACCTGCATTGAGCATCTGCCCCCTGGTTGTCAGTGCACGTCATAGTGACCAATCAACCAGTCATTTGGTCATCTGGTTGTCCAGTAGCTTAGGCTTTTATATAGAGAGAGATAATATATATTATGTAATATATAAATATATAATACATTTATATAATATATTAATTATATATAACAGGGTATTATAGCAACCATTGCAGGTTCAGTTACTAATCTAACAACCCCACAATGTAACTCCCACAATTCATAGAACTGTCTCTGAAGATAAAGAAGCAAGGAGACAGGAATGTCACCTTGAGTGTTAATCAGGCAAAGATGCTGCTGGACTGGGATACAGTACAGGAATCTGGTGACTCAGGTAAGGCTGAGATGGGGAGAAGTTCACTGAGGTTTCACAGTGGAATAAGATACCCAAGGGTGGGACAAATGGAGAATTAAAGTTTAAAGGAAAGTGTGGGCTATGGTGGGGACCACAAGAAAAGAGTCTACCTGAGGAAGGGGTCCTGTGGACACCCCAAGATGTCAACCATGGTCTTTTCCTACAGGTCCATCTACGGTGGGCCTTTTCTCCACACCAGGAATGGGCAAGTTTATGGCTAAAGCCCCCCTAGTTCTAGAAACTGAGGAGCAGTCAGTTCTGAATGAGACACACAAGGGCATGTTGCAGGAAGTCTCCCCTGTCCTGCTCTCAGATGTCATCTCCGTCTTTGTGAGCAATAATAACACCCAGAACCTAAGCTCCCCAGTCACCTTCATCTTCAAGCATGTGAGTCCTGGTGGGATGGGGCTATAGATATAAAATGAGCCTGATTTCTGGGAATAGACTTCAGGTTCCGGGGGCTCTCCCATGGGTGCATCATCTCCCCAGGGAAACCCATCACAAGCAGGATTTGGGTCAGCATTTCTGAGCAAGAGAAACACCAGCTCACACCTTGCTCTGTTCCTACAGTCGGTGACCCCGAGGCCAAAGCAGAAGTTGTTCTGTGTCTTCTGGGAGCCTGGCCAGAATGGAAGTGGTCATTGGTCCACCAAAGGCTGCTGGAGGGTGGGCACCAGAGACATCAGCACCACCTGCCAATGCACCCACCTCAGCAGCTTTGCCGTCCTCATGGCCCACTATGATGTGCAGGTGAGAGCCCTAAGAGGGGATGAATTTAATATCCATTGCTATGTAATAAATTCCCACAAATGCAGTATCTTTAAAAAGACACACACGGATTCATTATCCTGCACAATCCTCAGGTCAGCAATCTGGCACAGCATACCCGGGTTGTCTACTCAGAGTCTCACAAGACTAAAATGATCATGTCAGGCAAGCCTGTAATCTCATCTGAGTTGTGCAGTTCTCCAAGCTCCCTGGCTGCTGGCAGAATTCAGTTCCTTGAACTTGTAGGACTGATGTCTCACTTTCTTACCTGCTGGCAGTAGAGGAGCACACTCAGCTCCTAGGCAGGGATGGAGAACCGTTTGAGCTCGGCGTGTCAGCATTTTGAAAAACTCTTAACTTAACTCTGGTGCCGTGTCACATATAGAAATTTTTTGATATTTGCAACCATAGTAAAACAAAGATTTATATTTTTGATATTTATTTTATATATTTAAATGCCATTTAACAAAGAAAAATCAACCAAAAAAAATGAGTTCGTGTGTCACCTCTGACACGCGTGTCATAGGCTCGCCATCACTGTTAGAGGCTGCCCACATTCCTTGCCACATGGCCCCTTCCACCTTCAAGCAAACAGCACCGAATCAAATCCTTCTTGTGCTTGGATTTCTGACTTCTCTGGCTGTGATCTCTCTCTCTCTCTCTCTCTCTCTCTATATATATATATATATATATATAAATTGATGCGAGCCAGGCTGAAGAGTAGAAGAACCGAAAGACCATCACTACTGCAATTTTTTTTCTTTTTTTTTTCTTTTTTTTTTTCACCTTAACAAAGAAAAATCAACCCAAAAAAATGAGTTCACGTGTCACCTCTGACACACGTGTCATAGGTTCGCCATCACTGGCCTAGGGGCTCCCTGCATTCTTTCTCGTGTACCCCTCCCAAGTCCGCTCACAGGGTATCAGTATTGCTAACTGGAAGCCAGCAGGAGAATTGCCCTCACATTAAAGCACCCTCAAACTTCATTATTTTTATTGCCACAAAGCATTTCATTTTGTGAATGCTTTGTAAATTACACATCAAGACCCCCTCTTGGGGGTTTTCTTTTGATCATTTGCTAATAAATAATGTTGCAATTGTTTACACACACTTCCTTCTTCTCACATGATCATCTATAAGCTTAGTCATGCCCAAAAGTCTCAAGAAAAATAAACCCTATGCCTGGCCCGTGTGGCTCAGTTGGTTGGGCGTTGTCCAGTGCACCAAAAGGTTGCTGGTTGAATTCCCAATCAGGGCACATGCCTGGGATGCAGGCTCTATTTCCATGGGGTTGTACAAGAGGCAACTGATGTTTCCTCTCATATCAATGTTTCCCTCTTTATCACCCACTCCCTTCCTCTCTCTCTAAAAATCAATAAATATACTTTATTTTTATGTTTTTATTGATTTCAGAGAGGAAAGGAGAGGGAGATAGAAACATCAATGATGAGAGAGAATCATCAATCACCTGCCTCCTGCACACCTCCCTACTGGGGATTGAGCCCACAACCCGGACATGTGCCCTGACCGGGAATCGAACTGTGATCTCCTGGTTCATGGGTCAACACTCAACCACTGAGCCACACCAGCTAGGAAATTTTTCTTCAGTGACATTCTTTTTTTGTTGTTGTTAATCCTCACCTGAAGCTATTTTTCCATTTTAAGAGAGAGTGGAAGGGAGAGAGAGACAGAGAGAGAGAAAGAAACATCTATGTGAGAGAGACACATTGACTGGCTGCCTTTGCACACCCGACCAGGGGTAGGAATCGAGCCTGCAACTGAGGTACGTGTCCTTGACCAGAATCAAACCTGGGACCCTTCAGTCCACAGGCCAACGCTCTTTCCACTGAGCCAAACTGACTAGGGCAAAAATATTTTAAAATAAATCAACTCTTTGAATTCCAGGACTTGATCTTGAGTAAGGTCTCTTCTATCCCTCAATTCTTCCAGGGTCTGAATTAATCCATTTAGAACCCATAAAACTCTAGATTACCCACCAACATCACAAATTTAGGTGGCTCCTCCATTCCTGATTTTGTTACACCGAAAAATAAAACTAAATATGGTGTAAGAGTCATTAACCCAGCCCAGGAAAGTATAACTGACATCTCCTCTTTGCTGGGTTCCAGGATGATGATCCCGCCCTGGCTGTGATCACCTACCTGGGGCTGAGCCTCTCTCTGCTGTGCCTCCTCCTGGCGGCCTTCACCTTCCTGCTGTGCAAAGCCATCCAGAACACCTGCACCTCACTCCACCTGCAGCTCTCAATCTGCCTCTTCCTGGCCCACCTGCTCTTCCTCACGGCCATCGACAGAACTGAGAACAAGGTACTGACACTGTCTCAAAGGACATCTTCCTCCCTGTGGGATGTGGAGTTCATGACGCCATGCTGCATTGAACATCTTAATATAGTGGCCTTGTGTTTTAGGAATGTCAGAGGGGTGAGTAGCCAATTTCACAATGACTGACCCAACTAGAAGACACCCCCTTTTTTGACATTTCCTTCATATACATCAGAGTTACCCCAAAAAGTATAGGAGAGGTCCCGGGTCCATGCTCTACCCTGACAATCCCACCTGGTGACTCTCACCCCTCCCCCAGGTGCTGTGCGCCATCATCGCGGGTGCCTTACACTATCTCTACCTGGCCTCCTTCACCTGGATGCTGCTGGAGGGCCTGCACCTCTTCCTCACCGCGCGCAACCTGACGGTGGTCAACTACTCCAGTGTGAGCAGGTTCATGAAGAAGTTCATGCTCCCTGTGGGCTATGGAGCCCCAGCTGTGAAGGTGGTCATTTCTGCAGCTTCCAGGCCTCACCTTTATGGAACACCTACCCGGTAAATTAAAGTTCCCACTGTCCTCATCTTCTCCACATGGTCAGCAGAGAGCCAATGTAGCACTTTAATTTCACTAGAATATGATAGGTATAGGAAAACAGTAATAATGACCCAAAGACATCTTCCTGGTTCCATGATTATATTCCTTGAAGCGACTGTTATTAGGAACTTAAAATTTCATTGTTTCAAATGTTAATTATATAGTATGTTAATAATTATATGTTTATATAATATTAATTGTGCATTACATTCATTACCTATACTTTTATAATAAAGAAACATTAACAATCATAAATTAATACATGGTTAAAATAAATAAGCTGATTTTTATCTTTTCAATTTAATTATTTTAAATATTTAATCAGTAAATGTATATGAATATAATACTCATTGCATTAATTGAGGGGACTGTTTTAAATATTCTAGGAAGCAAAATGAAAATGAAGGGATGGCATTGGTTGGTGTAACCTACTTCTCTCCTTAATTAAAAAAAAAGAGGGAGAGAAAAAAATGGGGAGGGAAGATTATTTAGATGATGAAATTGTGATGACCAGAGCTAAGATTTAGAAATCATTTTGGACATGAAATCTATATTCCAAATATTTTTAATGTATCAGCTCAAGTCATCCTCCCAACAACCCGCTGAGGTAGAATGGTATTATATGAGTTTTGCAGGTGAGGAAATTGAGGTACAGAGATTTCTGACATGGTCCAAATCACACAGATGGTTGGTGGCAGAACTGGGATCAAATACAGACCATCCGGCATTTACAACATACTCCTATGTTGAAATAATTAATGTTCACCAACATCGGAGTAGCCCTGGTCAGATGGCCTTCCTATATAGTTTGCATAAAAGTCAGCAAACTGTAAAGGGCTGCAACTTTGCCAACCATGTACTCTCTGTTGCAATGACTCACCTCTGTCCTTGTAGCACAAGAGCTGCCATAGACAATATGCAAGAGAATGAGTGCAATTGTGTTCCCGTAAAGCACATTTACAAAATCAGGTGGTGACCCCATTTGACCCACAGGGTGCAGTTTACCATCATTGTCTTAGTAGTGTTGGCTTTGAGTCTTCTGGTGGGTCCAGCTAATTTCATGGTACTCACACCTCCCAACTCATTCACAAGTATCTCACATGGGGTCATTTCCAGTACTATCATTTCTATCAGTGTGGCCTTGATGTACTGTTTCCTTAAGCATTAGATGCCAACCTGTGGTCACTGGAGTCTCAGTGTTGTCATGAGGAATAAATTATATAATGCACATGAGCCCTTAGTATTGTTATCGGGTTACTGTCATCATCTTTTTTTACTATCATCTTGCATGTCCCCAATTTTTTCACCTTCTATACACCTGCTCATCCATTCATATCTCGGAATAAACACAATCAGTTCTCTCAGGGAACCCTTCCCAACTACCTGAATCTCCTATACCACCGACTAGGCAAGCTGTCTACTATGTGTTCTCATAGCTCCTCACACTTGACCATAAAACTCATCATCTTGATTGTTTCTATTGTGTAATTAGTGACCTTCCCTGAGGACTGAGACCAGACTACCTCCATTGCAGTTGGGTCTTCAGGTCAAGCAGATGTCCTGACACAGAGGAGACACAATATTTATCCAATAAACCATAATTTAATTTACTTATTGATATTTATCTTTTCATTTAAAAATGTATATTTTCTTCTGCCAGCATACCTGACATTTTTAAAATAAATTTATCTTTTTAAAAACCACATTATTATGGCATGATTGATTTATACAATGCTATACATAGTTAAGGTATGTAACCTGATGAGTTTGAACTTAAGTACAGAACCAGGACCAGCACCACCATCAAGGGCATACACAAAGTTTCAGTTATGAAAGAGTAATAAGATAAGATCTATTAGAGTATAGGGCATAATTAACAATATTGTATTGTATACTTAAAATTTAGTAAGAGGATAGATCTAAGCTTAAAAGTTCTTATCAAAAAGAAACAATATTAGCAATAGGAGGAAGAAGAAACTATGGGTGGTGAAGGATATGTCTACCAAGTCTTTATCCACAAAGGCAAATAGATTCTTCAGTCTCTTTCCATCTCTCTTTTAGATGCTGGCTCAGCACACAAGAGGGATTTATATGGACCTTCCTTGGCCCTGTCTGCACCATCTTCTCTGTGAGTAAAGGATGACATGAGAGCATGCTTCCTGCCCAGCTGAGGGTCTATCGAAGAGCAGGTGTATAAGGAGGGTTACAGGCAGGATGAGAAATCCTTAAAGTTTGCCCAGGACTGAGGAGGCTTACAAGAGGCAAAATTTCTCTTTTAAAACCAGGATAAAGGGATTTCCTGAGACCTCTCACTTTCAGTGCTAAAATGTGGAGATTGCCATCAAAACTGCGACACGTTGATCACCCCAGTTACAGGACAAGCATAAGCCTGTGTTACTAGATGTTTGGTCCCTTTTTCTATGACTGCTATGAAATATGAACGTGTCTTACCTGCTGAGTTAGGTGTTGGATGAGCCAGGAGGAAGGGGTACAGATGGAATATATTCAATATGCCTTGTGGGGTTTCCACAGATTAACTTGGCCTTCTTTCTGATGACCTTCTGGATTCTGAAAACCAAGCTCTCCTCACTCAACAGGGATGTGTCCACCCTCCAGAACACGAGGTGAGAGGGGTCAGAGGTGCACACCACCCCATACAAAGCATGGTCCTGGAGCAATACCCTATGGTTCCAAGCTCCTGGTGTCCTTTCACAGGGATTCTGAGGGGTCAGGAGAGAGGTGCAGCCACCCTCTCTGGAAACCAGCTCAGGTAGTGTGGTTTGCTGCAGAAAGCCAAGTCAAAAATATTTTGTTTCTCCATAACTCGAGCATGAAATTATCTCAGCTACAGAGAAAATTGACTTTGTTCTGTTAAACATGAATTACTTCCATGGTCCTATGAAAAGGGTCTCAGAACATTTTTATCTTTATAGAACACTTAGGAAATCACATAACTGTTCCCAGAACCCAGCATGCCCATTCATGCCCACACCTTCATGGATGCTCTTCCCTCTGCCCTCTCCACTCCTACACCTGGAGAAAATCAGGTTCTTTCTCCACATATCACATCTTGTGAAAGGCTAGGCGCATCCTTTGCTTTCCTAAACTTAGCACAGAATGAATGGCCTCTATTCTAGGCAAATCATGCTCACACTCAGTTCATGGAGAGTGAAAAAATAGGAATAGTGTTGGATGGGACCTGGGCCGAGGTACCTCACACATAATAAATATTATGTGACTGTTTGTTTTCATCTTTCCATGAGACTAGAAGGTTTGTGAAAACAGAAATTATCTTTGTTATTTTTAATACCCAAGACCCAGCACAGAGAATCAGGTACACAGAACATCTCCAGTAATGCCAGTTGAAGGAAATTAGGGACATTCATGAAACATCATGATCTTTTTGAAACCCACATTATGAATTATCACTACAGCGGAACCTCGGTTCTTGAACTTAATTCATTCTGAAAGGCTGTTCGAGAAGCGGTGTTGGAAAACAAAATCGTTTTTTCCCATTAGAAATAATGTAAACTGAATTAATTTGTTCCAGACCCCCCAAATGGTTCTGTTTTAACCTTTCCTGTATACAGTACATGTCTAATGTACTGTTTAATCTATGAACAAACACTTCTTTTCTTAAATTCATCGAACCACTCCCTGCTAGCCTTAAACTAATCACTTTCAGCACTCGTTCAAGGGTATCTTTCTAGAGGTCAGTATGCAGCATCTTCACTTTTTCACGTATCATTGCCTCTGAAATGCTGTCACTGGCTAACTGCTTTTCATTTATCCAACTCAATAACAATTTTTCTACCTCTTCAATTGCCTTTATGGTTTCATGAGCACTTTCACACCCTTACCAACATCAGCACTTTTGATGGCCTCTTCGTGTTTTAAAAGTGTGTTAGTCGTCCATTTCACCAGCAACAAACGTAAATAAATAAATAAATAAATAAATAAAATATTCACAGCACAATTTCCTGAGATGTTAACAAGGCACGGTTTAGCTGTAAACTGACTCGAATTGGCATGTTTTCTCCTTTGTTTGTGGCCTGAGAGACACTTTTTGTCATAATCATGTATCAGCATGAAAATGGTTATTAGGTCGAGAACTGAAGTTAACCAAGACATTTTTTCCATTAACAACTTGATTGAGGACCAAATTGTTCGAGATGGGAGATGTTCAAGAACTGAAGTCTGTACTTCAGTCGAAGTCAAAATGACATGATAAACTCTGATAGCATTTCTGTTCAGAGGATCATTGAGAGTAGTTATCAAAGTTGATCACAACTCACTCATGCATCCCTGGGGTACAGATAAGGGTGACCTTGATTCTGTTGTTCTGGATGCACCACGGACCTCTCTTTTCCTTCTACCCAGGATGTTGACATTTAAAGCGACAGCTCAGCTCTTCATCTTGGGCTGCACATGGTGTCTGGGAATCTTGCAGGTGGGTCCAGCTGCTCACGCCATGGCCTATCTCTTCACCATCATCAACAGCCTGCAGGGCGTCTTCATCTTCCTGGTATACTGTCTCCTCAGCCAGCAGGTACTATTGTCCGGCTTCTACCCAGGATTTTTCACTCTCACCCCTCTCAGTGAGCTGACTCAGAGCATGCTTTGCTTCTGTAGGTCCAGGAGCAATACCGGAAATGGTTGAAAGGGATCAAGGAATCCAAAGCCATCTCTGAGAAGTATACACTCTCCAGCAGGGCTATGTCTGAAGTCTCCAAACACAATGTGGTAAGATCACATATTGCTCCCAGAGCACTTCACTAGCTGATCCACTTTAGTAGCTCATGCCCATCACACTGGACAACCTGACATATAGCCAGTGATGCCCTAGGATGGCTCCCACTGAGTTTACTTGTGGACCCACCCCAAGGCATTTCCATGTCAACAATGGAGGTCTTCCTGTACTTCCACTCGCTGTGTTGATGTACTCACCTTGACCCTTGCCCATGATTACCTTCTCACATGTGTAGAGCACTGACTTTGTGAGACATGGTGCATGTGGTTTTTAATTTTACTTAGTGAAAAGATACAAAACATTTCCTCATAAGCAGAGAGAGAAGCTATGGTTGGTCAGCTCAACAAGCAGAAACTAATGATCTGAAGCTGTGATGCTCAAACCGCACAGTCACAGCACCAGCCTTTATCCCAACTCATTCCATGCTACGCTCTATATAAAGAACAATAAATACATGGCATATATAGTCATAAAAGTTAGTAAAATAAGTGTTAGGTTGGGTTTGAGACTTTACTTAAGAATCTACAATTGTTCCTGGAATTTTCAACACATACGAATAATGCAAAGCCAGGAAGGAGATTCACAAAGGGCTGAGGAGGGATCCCAACAATAGCAATGAACATATGTATATTCTGGTTTATAAAATCTTGTCTCGTGAGTTTTGTTCACATGTTCTTCACGTCAGCTTTTGAAGATAAGTATTATTATGTTCCCATTTGGTAGGTAAAGAAAATGAGACTCATAGGTTCTATATGAATTGTGCAAGGTTTTCAGACAATTCACTTTTTCTCCCAACTTCCATGGACCCACCATGCTGCTTGCTAAGCCTTATGCATATTTATCATCCACTTGTTTGTCCAACCCTCTACAACTAAGCCTTCCAAATTCTCCATTCATCAAGAATCTCATTCTTCTAATTCTTTCCTTTCCAGCAGGTGTTTCTACCAGTTTCTTTCATAGCAAATCAAGTAAGCAGGATGAAATAAGGTCAACTTTGTGCTCTCAAAAACACAAGGCATTGGACATCTGGTTCATTTTCTCCTCATCCCATCAAATGTGCTTCTGACTTTTTTAAGGCTAGTCCTTCTATTGCATTTTGGTTCCCAACACTCTTGACTGCTCCATAACTTTACATTACTGTTCATGCATTCTCTCTCTCTGAACCTTGCAGTTTCACCTACTCAACAGCATCATTGCAACCACCTTCATTGCAACATGCTAAATCTCTGTCTTACTAAAAATTATTAAAGTTATACATTTAATCCCTCCCTCTTCTTCCTCAAACACTCAAAAACTGGTATGTGCCTCCATCATTCCACCAAACAGTTCTCTCTTAAGCCTCCAATGACCTTCATATCACTGGATGAAATCAATATTTTTTGGTCCTCTTAGTACTATTGGGTGTTGTGGTTACTGTCTCCATCATGAAACTTCTCTTTTGTTCCTGGTTCCTAGATCTCAACATCCCTGGCATTCTTCCTCACTTTCTGGCTGAACTGTCTTCATCTTCTTTAGATTTCATTTACTCTATCCAGCTTTGTCCTAGAAACACTCCCATTATATATATATGCAGTGTCCCCTCACAAGTTCGACCGGGAAACTGGGAGTTCGATCGCTCGCTATGACGTGTGCTGACCATTAGGCATTAGGGGGCAGCACAGAACAAAGGAAAGTCCTGGCCAGAAGGCCCCAATCGACCCTGATTGCTGGCCAGGCCTAAGGACCCTACCCATGCATGAATTTCGTGCACCGGGCCTCTAGTTATACTATACTCTCCTGATAAACAATCCTGTCTACAGGGACTCAATGAGTTATGCAGAAGGAAATAATAGCCAAACAGTTTCTCTAGTCCTGAATTACCTTTGAGCCCCAGACCACAATTTCCAATTGCTTACTTAACACCTTTACTTAAATATCTCAGAAGCAATCCAACACGGCCATAAAAGAATTCATCATTTTTTCACCAATTTAATCCTCTTCAGGATTTCTCATCTCTTTCAGTGGCATTTCCATTCATCTCATTGCACTAGTCAGGACCTGGAAAAATCATTAATTTTATCCTCTTTCCTACCCTGTTCCACCCCAAACCAGTCCATTGCTAAATCATGTTAATATTTCCTCCTCAGTACTCATAGATCTGTCTTGTTAATACTGGCTCCATCACCTCCTCCCTAAATGCAGCTGTCATCTTTCCTTGGCTGTATTGCAAAATCCTCCTAACTGGTTTTTCTCATCTATTCTTTCCTGCAACAGTTGTTCACATAAAACTCGGTGTTACCTTCTCAAAACAAAAATTTGATATTCTACCACGTTGAATAAAAATCCCCAAAATGGTTCCCCAATTCCACGAGGATCAAGACCAAATATATAAGGGTTCCAATTTCCTCCACATCCTCACAAAAACTTGTGGTGGTTTAGTTTTTTGCTTTTGCTTTTTTTAATGCTCATCCTAAAATAGATTTTAGAGAGAGAGGGAAAGAGAGAAAAACATCAATGTGAGAGAGAAACACCGTGCTGTTGTCTATCATATGTGCCCCGACCAGGGATGGAACCTGCAACCTGGGTATGAGCCCTGACTGGGAATCAAACTCAAGACCCTTCAGTGCACAGGGCAATGAGCCACGCAACTGAACCACACTGTCTAGGGCTAGTTTTTTATACCTTAGTTGGTGTACAGTGCATTAGGCTTTTGGTTTGTGTTTCCCTAATGTCTAATGATATTGAACATCTTTTCACGTGGTTATTAGCCTTTTGCATATCTTCTTTGAAGAAATAGCTATTCAAATCCTCTTGCCATTTTTAATTCAGTCATTTATCTTTTATTGATAAGTTGTAAAAATTCCACATATGTTCTGGACACAAGTCCCTTGGCAGACATATGATTTTCAATTTTTTTCTCCCATTCTTTTGATTGGTTTTTCACACTCTTGATCCAATTGGTGCATAATTTTTTACTTTGTAAGAGTGAAAATTATCTATTTTTTTGTTTACTTGTGCTTTAGGTATCATATTTAAAAAAGAATTGACTAACGCCCATAAGATTTATAAATGTTTTCTTTAAAAACATTTATAGTTTTAGTTATTACATTTAGGTATATGATTTATTTAGAATTTTTAATGGTTTGAGGTTTTTACAATGTGACGTACACATCTTTTACATGTGGCTATCCGGTTTTCCCAACATCATTTATTGAAAAGATTGTTCTTTCCATCGGTGAATTATCCTGACATCCTTGTCAAAAGCAATTCCTGATAAATATAAGGTTTTATTTTTGGACACTTAACTCTCTTCCATCATCTATCTTGATTACTATAGTTTGTAGCAAGTTTGAAATTGGGGAATTGACTCCACAAATTTTTTCTTTTTTATCAAGATTGTTTCAGCTGTTCTGGACCTTTTTAAGTACCATATAAATTTTAAGATGTGCTTGTTAATTTCTGAGAAAAAATTAACTGAGATATTGATAAGCATCATGTTGAATCTATAGATCAATGTGGAGGTTCTGCAATCTTAACTAGTAAGTCTTCTGATCCATGAACATGCAATACTTTTCCATTTCTTTAGGTTGTTTGACTTCTTTTGACAATCTTTCGTAGTTTTTAGAGTACACGTCTTACACTTTTTAATACAGTATCATTTTTATCCCTTCCATCTCAGGAGAATGAAATTAACAACTAAACCAGATGATCCTGTCTCCTGGAAAATGAGGAAAACACTGAACTGTCATCCTTTGGGCAAAGAATATAGAAAATACTTTTTGTATCTGTTATAAGTAACTCTTCATGGCACCATTGTGGGAGAAAAGTATACAGGAAATGTTTGACATTCAGTTGCTAGAGAATTGGGGCCTTCTGGTCCACACAGCATGCTCAGCTCAATCCCAGCAGTCAAGGAGCTATGACCCAATTCCTCAGTTGTCTTGGGTTGAGCTCTCCACTCCAACCTGTTTTTCTTCAAAAGTGTTCCTCAAGTTAAATATATATAACAAGGAAAACCATCATCAAAGGTCTACCTTATAACAACATAAAAGAGTAGAGTAATGTTCAGTTAAATACCTGTATTTGGCCTCCCTACCTACATGCCTTGACTTCTTCACTCTTCATTTCTAAAGACTTACTAATTTTTAATTTAAAAATATTTCTCTTACTCACCATGTGCTGTACACAGATCAAGACAGATCCAGTTCCTGATTTCGCAAAGCTTATATGTAAAAAAAAATGTTAGAGTAAAATCAATAGAGTTTCTACATCCTTACATTTTATAAATTTGAGTTGTGTGCAATATATATGTATTATTTCATCTAGGCAAAACCCAATCCAAAGCAATTTCACCTGGGATAATTTCCCTATGGGTTTCCATGGACCACATTTGTATAATTTGAACATATGGGAAATGCCTGTAAATGGGTATAACATTAAAAACATCCATGAGTCCATAGTGATACCTAAAAATATCAGCTAATAATTGTAAAAGATGAGATAAAATTAGAAAATTATGATTTTTCAATATCAAGTAAATGGCCACTAAAACAAAATGTAAAAGGCTGTTGGAGGACAGGCTACTCCCACACTGCCAAAAAAAAAACACCTCACAGATTACTGATTAATTACAAGGCCAAATTTACAATAGGGAAATCTGACAGTCACCATATGACCTTAATAATCAGCTTAACATTGTCAATAGTGGGCAACCTAACATTAACTCCTGATAAGACATGACTTTACAACATCCTATGTGTGTAAATAAAGAATTATTGACAAATCAGTCTAACCAAAATCTAATCCAGTGTATCAATCAAGGGTTGGGAAACTATAACATGCAGGCTAAATCCAAGCATCTGCCTGCTTTTATAAATAAACTTTTATTGGAACACATCCACAGACATGTGTTGATGGATTTTCTATGCCTCCTTTCATACTACAATGTCAGAGTTAAGTTGTTGTGAAAGACACTGCAAAATCCCAAAGCCAAAATATTTACTCACTGGCCCATGACAGAAAGAGCTTGCTGGGACCTGTTCTTTCAGACCTGAGTATTAGTATACATAAAATACATGGAACAGAATAACAAGTTAAATAACATCATGAGGAAACAATCAGGCAAATCAAGAACATAGTGCATTCAACAAGCCAGGTGATCTGGACTCTTCTAAAGTCAGTATCATTTAAAAAGATAATACCATCTTAAAAAGTGACTCAGTCTATTCTAGAAAACAGATAAAAGCAACATAACAATCAAATTCAATGTCAATCTACCAGTAAGTGGTATTCTGATTCAAATATACAGCTATAAAAATATTTTGGAAGCAACTGAAATAATTTAAATATGTATCAATTATTAAAATTAAAGTTATTAAATTGCTAATATTCTTTGGTGTTTGTAATAATAGTATTCTAGTTATGAGGAGAATATTCTTTAGATTCTTCAATATTTACCAGATATTGGTAAATATTGAAGAATGAAGTGTCATGATATCTGCCACTATCAAAGGTTTTAGCAAGAAAATGTATATGTATGTATATACATTAAGACTTCTAATGTGACACTATATAATTGTTGACTCTAAAGGGTATATGAGTGTTTCTTATACCATTCCAAATTCAATTTAAAAATTGTAAATAAAGGTATCATAAAAGTAAATATATTAGTTATTATTAATATAAATTCCTAGGTGTGCAGAAAATGTCTTTTCCTCTGCACAAAAGTAATTTTGTAAATAGATATCTTATAAAGCTATAAATTTGCATGGCTATATGGTAATGGACTTAAAATCCAAAAATGATAAAACAATATTATTAAAATATTAGGAGAAAATTGAGAGAATCTGAACTTCTCTGCCTAGCAAACAAAAAATGGAAGTGAATATTGTTCCCAACCTAACAATAAAAAAAATCCATGTAAACTACAAAGTCATTAATTTTCTTGAACCCATAAGACAATTGAGGTAAAGGGCAACAAAGTAACCTAAAATCTAAGGAAAGAAAGGATCATCCAAGGAGAGACCATCAGGAGAACTGGTTCATTTATGGCAGAGCACAAAGGAAGTGATTTGGATGCAAAACGAATAGTTAAAAATAATTCACCTAAATATTTAATGAATTGCTAAGGGCCAAGTGTGAGTAATCATGATAGTAAAGAATCTCTGAGGGAGTGGCAGGAATGTGGAGAGACCCTCTCTGAGATGCAGCTTCACAGGAAAGGTCTACAGCTGACAGTGAAGCAAATGATGAAAACCCTCTGTCAAAACAGCCCCACCATAAGCACAAGATAACAAGGTAGCACTAGAATATAATGAAGCCCAGATGCAATGACTACCACTAGATAGCTCTCTCAAAAATATTCTAGTAAAAATATAGGTGTGCCTATTGCCAATAATTAATAATATAAACCTCAGTGTCCACTGTTCTACACACATTGTCCAGCATTCAACCAAAAATTATGAAATACATCAGCAAAAACAGTCCATGAAGTGTTCAACACAATCAGACTGAGGGCTAAACTAACAGACACAGAATTTTAATAATTATGAATAATATGTTAAAGGCTCTAAAGTAGTAGTTATCACCTGGGGGGCATTTTGTCCTAGGGAACATTTGGGAATTTCTGGAGACATCTTTAGTTTCACAGCTGGAGGGGTACCTACTGTAGTAAGTGCAGGCAAGAGATTCTGCTCAGCATTGTACAATGTACAGGATAGATAGCCCCAGCCACAAAAAAAGTATCCAGCCCCCCAAATGTCAATAATGCTGAGGTTGAGAAGTTCTGTTCTAAACTCCCTTATATTATACAGATGCTAAAAACAGATGTCTACCTTTTCACTATTAAAAACTAGAAAATGTCTACAAAAACATATAAGGTGTAAAGAGAATAACTTTTAACAGGAAATGTCATGTTCTCTTCTGTTACCCCAAAGTTGAGAAACCCCATTCTCCTGGAAAAGGGGCAATATGTATGAACATATGGCAAATTTCAAAAGAAAATAGAGGCCACAATTTAATATTTCATTAACAACATACCTTTAATCAAAATCCAAAGGCATAGAAAAAACTAACAAGCTTTACTACTTAAAGTTTCTGGATGATAAAGATCACCATTAATAAAGCCTAAAGACTATGTAAAATATTTTAATGTTAATAAGAGATTAATCCATAATTTAAAGTAATTTTTAAATTGCAATGATAAAATGCTACAAATATATTAGAAAATTATAGGTCATTAACAGAAAAAGAAAAATGCTAAGACATAGTAATCAAGAATACTGAAATGAATACAAGAAGCTAATATTTCAGAAATTAGAAAAATATAGAGTTGGATAACATTCAACACTGGTTAGACCAGAGTGAAATGGATATTCTCATTAAGTACTAGGATAAATTAATATACACACTTACTTATTCAGCAATTTGTTACTACTATGAAAGTTTAAGATGCACATATCCTAGGGCCCACAAATCCCACTTCTTTTAGTCTACCTTAGAGAAATGCTCTCATATTCATAGGAAGGTATTTATTAGAAGGTGTTTTAAGTATGTTTTACAAGAATGATCAATTGAAAAGTATGCAAGCAATAGAATGTACAACACCAAGAGTGAACCCTAATGCAAACTATGGACTTTTGGTGAGCATCAATGTAGGTTCATCAATTGTAACAAATGCACCATACCAGTGAGTGATGTTGATAATGAGGGAGGCTATACATGTGTGGGGGCAAGAGTAGACAGGAAAATTGGTAAACCTTCCTCTTAACATTGCTGTAAACCTAAAACTTCTCTGAAAAAAATAGTTTTTTAAAAAATAGAGGGGTTAATTTCCAAAATATATAAAGTACTCATGCAACTCAACAAAAGGAAAATAAGTAATCTAATTAAAAAATGGGCAGAGGACCTGAATAGAAACTTCTCCAAAGAGGACATACAAATGGCCAAGTGCCATATGAAAAAATGCTCAATGTCACTAATCATCAGAGAGATGCAGATTAAAATGACAATAAGATACCACCTCACACCTTCCAGAATGGCTACCATCAATAAATCAACAAGTGCTGGAGAGGGTGTGGAGAAAAAGGAACCCTAGTACACTGCTGGTGGCTATGCAGACTGATACAACCACTATGGAAAATAGTGTGAAGTTTCCTCAAAATGGAACTGCCATATGACCTAGTGATCCCACTTCTAGGAACACAGTTAAACCTGTTCCTTGAAAGTCTCCCATCTCAAACAATTCAGTTCTTGACCAAGTTGTTCACAGAAAAAAATGTCTCAGTCATCGACCAAAACTTCAGTTTTCCACCTCAGCATAACAAAAGTGTCTCTCAAGCAGCAAACAAAGAAGAGAATGCATTTGCTGCTGGAGAAATGAAAGCTTAGCACAACTTTAAAAACCTAAAGAGGCCATCAAGAGTGCTGTTAAAAAAAAAAAAAACGAGAGTGCTAATGTTGGTAAGGGTGTGAAAGACCTCACAAAACAACAATCACAGACAATTGAATAGGTAGAAAAACTGTTGTTTACTGGATAAAGGAAAAGTAACTAGCCAGTGATAGATTTCAGAAGCAGTGATATATAAAAAATTCGTTTGAGGCTAGTAGGGTGTGGTTTGATATATTTAAGAAAAGAAGTGTTTATAGATTAAGCAGTACATTAAACATGTACTATATGTAAGAAAGTTTAAAACAGGAAATCATTTGGGGGTCTGGAACATCTTAATTCAATTTACATTATTTCTAATGGGAAAAAATGATTCGGTTTTCGAACAAATCACTTCTCAAACAGCCTTAGGTTTGAGAACCAAGTTTCCACTGAATATCCTAAGAAACATGAAACACCAATCAGAAAGAATGTATGCACCCCTATGTTCATAGCAGCACAATTTACAATAGCTAAGATCTGGAAACAGCCCAAGTGCCCATCAGTAGACGAGTGGACTAAAAAGCTGTAGTACATTTACAACATGGAATACTAGGCAGCATGGAGTAACCTGGAGAGTATTATGCTAAGTGAAATAAGCCAGTCAGAGAAAGACAAGTAACACATGATCTCACTCATATGTGGAATCTAATTAACAAAATAAACTGACAAACAAAATAGATCCAGAGACATAGAAGCATGGAACAGACTGTTGAATCTCAGAGGGAAGGCAGGGGTGGGTAGGTGGGAAGAGATCAACCAAAGAACTTGTATGCATATATGCATAACCCGTGGACGCAGACAATAGGGTGGTGAAGGCCTGGGGCGGGTGGTGGGGGAGGGCTAGAAGGGGTCAATGGGGGGAAACAGGGGACATACCATATTTTATTTTCCCATGTATATGGCACTATTTTTTTCTAAAATCATTAGACTGAAAACAAGGGGTCGTATACATGGAAGTCAGCCGAGGAGGGAGCCGCGAGGTGCGTAGTTGCCCATACCTTGTCCAACAGGCTTCCTCCAATCACAAGCCTTATTGTTACTGATGTCAGCTGATGCTGTAATTAGAGGAGGAGGTGGAGAGTGCAAGGTGCAATGGGGACCAGAGTGTTCTGAGCCCATAAAGATGTCAAAAAATAAAAAGATAAATACCAGTAAGCGATTGTTTTATTCTGCAAAATTCAAACTGAATGTAATCAGTTATGCAAAAGAGCCTGGAAACAGAGCTGCAGAGAGACAATTTGGACCTCCCCCACTGAGTGTATGGTCAGACAGTGGAGAAAACAGGAAGAAAAACTCTTTAAGATGCCAAAAAAGAAGGCCTTAAGAAGAAATCCAGCAGAATGGGCAAACTTGGAGCAGAGGCTTAAGACTTGGATTGTGGAGCAGTGGGGGTGTCTTATACACAGAAAAATACAGTATGTAATATGTCCAACAATAACAATTTTTTTAATTAAAAAAAATGAAACAC